AAATGCGAGAGTAGCATTAGCAACATTAGCAACAATGGAGGCTGCACACAACAACATGTGGACTACTCTTTTTTTAGAGTTCGGTTTGGAGGTTAATAACAGAAGCGTTAACAATGGCGAGTTTTTCTCTTTGCATCGTTGTTGTCCTGGGCATCTGTTGGCTTTTAGTGACGTATGCTTGTAATGTAGCGTGTCCTGCCAGAGCGAGACGCCGTGCCGTGTTCCACCATGTTAACATGTTTTAATTGCTGTGTATTAATAACTGATATTGCAAACACATTTTTATGTGCTAAAACGCACATTCTTTCCTTACTGGTGAACAATTTTTAATAAGCATGTAGATAAAGGTGCTTCAAGTGAGTCGACTGCTGTTTGGTCGAAGTGTGTGGGTTTGCAAAAAACACTGGAGCTAAACTTGCACTTCTGTGCCTCTGTGTGACAATCCTATTCATTTATTTTTATTTGACTTATGTTTGCTCACAGATCCGGTTTGTAGAAACAACATTTGATTAAAAGAAGGTAAAAACTGAGCTTTCGGAGTTATCAAAATATTAGCTTCATCTAAACCTTCAACTTGCATTTTGGATCCAATCCCAACCAAATTATTTAAAGAAGCATTTCCTTTGGTTACTGCCCCCATTCTAGATATAATCAATCTATCCATAGTAAATTGATATGTACCACAGGATTTTAAGGTTGTTGTAATCAAACCTTCACTTAAGAAGCCTTCTCTGGATCCAGATGACCCAATGAATTATAGACCAATATCTAACCTTCCATTTTTATCCAAAGTCCTGGAGAAAATAGTGGCCATCCAAGTATGTGAGCATTTAAACACTTATGCTCTGTTTGAGGAATTTCAGTCTGGTTTTAGAGAGTATCACAGCACTGAAACTGTGTTAGTGAGAGTTAAAAATGATATTCTCATGGCCTTAGATAAGAATCTTGTGTCTGTTCTAGTCTTGTTAGATCTCAGTGCTGCCTTTGACGCAGTTGATCACAATGTTCTTTTAGAAAGACTTGAACATGTTGTAGGGATCAAAGGAACAGCGTTAGGCTGTTTTAAATCCTACCTGTCTGACAGATTTAATTTTGTAAATGTACATGACAAATCTTCTTCATACTCCAGGGTTACTTGCGGAGTACCACAGGGTTCAGTGCTTGGACCAATTCTTTTTACTATATATATGCTCCCAATTGGTAAAATCATTAGACAGCATGGGATAAACTTCCACTGTTATGCTGACGATACTCAGTTATATTTATCAATTAACCCTGATGAACCTAATCGGTTGGGTAGATTACAGGCTTGTCTTGAGGACATAAAAAATTGGATGACTCTAAACTTTTTTCTTTTAAATCAAGACAAGACGGAAGTTCTCATCTTTGGACCAGAAATCCAGAAAAGGAAATTGCTTAGTCAATCACCTGACCTGAATGGCATTACATTAATCTCCGTGAACAAAGTAAGGAACCTTGGTGTTATCTTTCACCATGACCTGTCATTCAAATCCCAGGTTAAACAGGTTTGTAGGATTTCCTTTTTCCACCTTCGGAACATTGTTAAGATTAGAAGCATCCTTTCCAGGAGTGATGCTGAAAAACTAGTTCATTCATTTATTACATCAAGACTGGATTACTGTAATTCATTACTCTCAGGAAGTCCACAGAATGTAGTTAAAAGTCTTCAGCTTGTCCAAAATGATGCAGCTACAGTTCTGATGAGAATTAAAAAGAGAGATCATATCTCTCCTGTCTTAGCTTCCCTACATTGGCTACCTGTTAAATTCAGAATAGATTTTAAGATCCTTCTTCTCACATATAAAGCTCTTAACAATCAAGCTCCATCAAACATCAGTGATCTGATTGTTCCATACGTTCCTAACCGAGCACTTCGCTCTCAGACTGCAGGTTTACTGGTGGTTCCCAGAATATCTAAAATTAGGATGGGAGGCAGATCTTTTAGTTATCAGGCTCCTCTCCTGTGGAACCAGCTCCCAGCTATAGTCCGTGAGGCAGACACCTTGTCTACTTTAAAGACTAGGCTTAAAACATTTTTATTTGATAGGGCCTATGGTTGAAATCTGATGTTAGCCTAAATCTGGACAAGTGGGGGAGTAGAGGGAGGTGGAGTGTACAGTCGGTAAAAACGGCTCTCCCTTGCCCTGCCTCCAACATGCCGCCATCTAAATAGGATAGATTATCCAGAGTTATCTCTGTAGTTATGCTGCTATAGGCTTAGACTGCTGGAGGATACACTGACCACTTTTCACACTCTACTACTTTCTTCTACAATCTGCTCTTTAACTGCATTATTTCCTGCAATGTCAGCTGTTAACTTTATTTTCTCTCTAAGTGTTTTTCTCCCCAGAAGAAGCTACAACGATGTTCTGCTGAGTTGTGGTAGCTTCATTGAGGGGGCCATTGTCTAGCACACTGCTGCTAACCACTTAAACATTCTCCCTCTCCTGATAACTTTTTGCTTTCCTTGACGTTGGATGTGCTACAACTAGTTTATCCGTTTAATTATAGATCCACTAGGATAAATACAATAAAATTTATCTCTCACCAAATAGAATATTTACTAAGACATCACAATATAACTATAGACACATTACTTTGTCTTTGTGTGTGTGTGTGTGTGTGTGTGTGTGTGTGTGTGTGTGTGTGTGTGTGTGTGTGTGTGTGTGTGTGTGTGTGTGTGTGTGTGCCATGCTCTGTCTTCTCGATCCCCAGTGAGTCGTGGTGGATGGCTGCTTATACTGAGCCAGGATTCTCTGGAGGTTTCTTCCTGTTAAAAGGGAGTTTTCTTCTCCACTGTCGCGTTATGCTTGCTTAGTATGAGGATTGCTGTAAAGTCACTGACACTAGTCAGTGACTTGATGCAATTTGCTGGGTTCCTTATATAGGAAACATTATTTCTGATTGGCTTAATGAACTGACCTGAATTGGAATGTTTATTATGTGAAGTGACTTGAGATGACTCTTGTCGTGATTTGGCGCTATATAATTAAAATTGAATTGAGTTGAATTGAATTGCACTGCACAACCAGTAGGCTTTGATCACTGGACCTCAGGGACCTGCTGGGGGTGTGTAGGGACTAAGAAGATCACCAATGTAAGATGGTGCTTGTCCATGTAAGGCCCTATAGACCAGAACCAGGATCTTGAAATGAACCCCAGAAGGATCTGAGGAGATGGAATGAAAATCTAACATCCATTTAATTAAACAAAAAGCAGGTTTACTGGTTATATCCTCTATTGGACAGATTTGATCTGTAACTAAATAATGGATTCTTGACTCTAATTTTCCAACCTGTCTCTGCTCCAGAGGTTATGACACAGATCATGAGCACGGCCATTCACTGCATGTGACCCGGTGTGGGTTCGTGCTTGTCATGTATGTGCTGCTTGTCACTGTGAACCTGCGGTAATGTTGCATGACTTTAGTTAATATTAAACCCATGAGCACAGAAATTATACTTTAAGATAATCTATTTGTTACAAGGGAGTGTGTCTGCACAGAGAAGGTAGATTTTCAGTACTCTGGTTGACAATAATTAAAACTTAATAATATAATTAAAACTTTATTTAAGACTGTGACAAAAGTAAAAACATTTAAAATGAAAAATAAATACAACTAAAGTTAAAGCTAAATAAAATTTATCTGTGGGGATATATATTTTTATTTTATTCAGAAAAATGTGTAACCCATTGATGCATAATGGACACTACAGTGGACAGGTACTCAAAATTGTTATTTATTTATTTAGTTTTTGCTATTAAGCACAGCTGTTGAAGACTTTATTGCATTTGAGCCCCTCCATTTGGACTTCAGTAAGTCAAGCCAACATATTTCATGATCAGAATGCACGCTGTCCACTGAGGTGGACATGTAATAAATTATTTGTAAATTATTAAATGTTACAATAAATATTCGTTGAAATTTGTTTCATTCACACCTAAAGATGAATGAAATTTTTTTTTAAAAAATCAAGATTAAAGATTTCATAATTCATGCATCAAAGGGTTAACTTACATGAAAGAATGAGATCATACAACAAGTGCTGGAGCCACCCACTAGGGGGCACTGCCTACAGCATCTACATTATGTTTATGTACCTGTGATGTATGCTTGTAATCAAAACTTCTACACACACACACACACACACACACACACACACACACACACACACACACACACACACACACACACACACACACACACACACACACACACACCTAAATAAACCTTGCTTGGATCGGCCTGAACAGGTGGGTTTATAAAAGCAGTGCTGAGTAAACAGAAATGTTAAACTTGTCTGGGGATTGTGAGGCCATTGTTTTAAATAAATAGAAGAATTCAGATGAATGGTAAAACAAGACACTTAATTTATGGAGGTACGTTTTATGAGCTTATTTTGTTCAAATCCCTTAATAGACTTATTTAAGTTTCCATAGCTTTCTTTACTATTTTATTCCCATTTCACAGAAATATTTCAATAGGGCTTAAATGATTGAAATTTCTTCTCTGGCCTCAAATATTTACTTTTTGAAATACAGTTCACTGAAAATACATACCACATTTGTGAACACTTGCAAAACAACAACAAAAACCACCCAACAACAGATCAGATCCTTAGGAAACGTTTGTTCAGCTCATCAGTTAAAATCTCTCACTGAGCAGCTGTTTTTCTCCTGAGTGGATAAAATGTAACTTTATAACCAGCCTGTGTTTTCTTTTTAATCATTCACTACTATTTCATCCTTCTTGTCTCAGAGCTGCTACAAACAGCTGCCTCTGACAGACTACACACACGCCTTTGACGTGCACATCTGACGTAATGCTGTCTGTCAAACGTGCTGCTGGGGTAGCACAGCTTTTAAACACGTGACATTAATGACAACTTTATGTGGTTAAAGTTGCATTTGACATATGCAGATTATCTTGATATAGAGAATAATAAACTCATGATCTGTCATTTTTTTTCTCATCACAGATGCAAAGCAGTGTTTGGAGTTTGGGCCTTATGGGCAGCTATATAGAACACATGATGCAAACTTATAACAAACACAAACCTGTAACAAAATAAGGTATGTTGCATATTTCAGAGCCCAATTAAATCCTGCAGCTGAAGCTTTCACCCCATATGTTCTGTTTTTCATGATATACACACACCACTCAGTTATCAAAGCAATGAGACGGTGCCTTCAGATCTAGACATTCTGCTAAATCAACATTAAAATCAAAAAGGTAGCACGCGCTTTAGTAGCTGAAAAAAGCAAACAGATCAAACCTCACCTTCTCTCCTGGAGGTGCCTCTCAGCACTTTAGCAGTAGCGACCTGAGCCCTCCCGACTCTGCTCAGAGTCAATAATAAAAGCATCCACATCTGGAAGATCACCGGCCCCTTCATAGCGCTTCTTTACCCGGCGGTGGCTCAAAACAAAACCTACTCACGGCTTCCTGGTTTAACCAGTTCCCGTCTGAAAGTAGATCAAGATATAACTTAAGTCCCGGGAGTACAGATGTGGACACGATGTCCCCGTCCTGTGCCAATAAAAGTGCCAAAGTATGGAAGAATTCGCCTTCCCGTGAAAGTTGAGCGCCTGCAGCGGGAAACAGCGACTGCGGAGGAACTCTGGAGCACAGCGGCAGGTGGAGGGTAATGTAGCTCCGTTCACGGTCACACATCAGATTAGAGGCGCCGGTCTTCTTATCACCGTGAAGACTAACATTCTATCCAGTCGCTCAGAAATAGTTTCTGTTTAACGCACGGGCTGTCAGCGCGCGCCAAACTTCACCAACTCTGTGCGCGCTCACGATGTGTGTGTGTGTGCGTGCGTGTGTGTGAGGGTCTGCCGTCTCCTCGTGTCCTTACACCAGGGTCAGACTTTGCCACATTTTCCCGTAAAGTTTTCTTTATAAATCACCAAGTTTGAGTAAAAAAGTAACTTGTGTCATTTCCAGACTATTTGGAGCTTCAAAAATGAGCTGGCCAGCTTTTTCAGTAGAAAAGGTGGACAAATAGACATTTCTAGCAAAAGCAAATATGTTAAAGGAATCTGAAGAAAAAAAAACTGGAACTCCTAATGTTGCATTAAAGGGACGATGTGTAGGTTGTACCATTAATCTCTGGAAACATCCGTCGAAATGTTGTAAACAAATTAAAAGATGCCCAGTTGTTGAAAAATATTGGCAGTTTTACAACCATAAAAATCTGTTCAAAAATACATGGGAGCGGGTCTAAGGGTGTGTCCGAATCCACAGGAAGGATGCTTATGAGTACGGGTCCTCGCCGGTCTAGCAAGACCGGGTCCTTGCTCGACCGCTAAGACCGGAACCCAGCGGCTCTGAATTCGGACAGTCTAGCCTTCACCTCTACGGTGGCCCGTAGGTCCCGTCACAGCCGTGGCGGCAGCTACACGCAGAGGAAAACTGCTAAAGCTAGCGAAAATGGAGCAGGAATATTAAGGAGCTACAGCAGCTTCATGTCCATCAGCAGTGTTTGTTCACAACCGTTTTCAGGTAAAGTAACTTTGTTTATTCTAGAAGCTTTCAGAACTTACATGTTAACTTCAGATCGTTTCATTTATGTTTTAAGCTACAGAATGAACTTGTTAAACGTACAACGCATTACTACAGAGTATTAACATGTAGGTAATTAATATAAACCAAATGCATTGTAAATGTTGAATGCAGTAGGATGTTTTCTAATGTAAATTGGACCTTAGAACTACTTATTTTGCATCAAATGGGAGTAAAATGCTTAAAAAACAGGCTTTTTAATAAAATAGCATTGAACTGTTTTCAATGTGCGTTTGTTTATTCAACTTAAGCCTAATAATGATTAGATCTGTCTTAAAAATGTAAATTCTCTGTAGTTTTTATTTAACTATTCCCTGCTGCTTTTCTTTAAACTGAACAGAGCCAGTGTACTGCAGGCTATATGTTTTGTTTTACATTTTTCTATAAAAACAACAAACAAACTCTTATTTAATCTATTACAGGTCAGCATGCACTGTGCTGCACATCTGCATCGGTGCTGTCTGGAGGATGAGCGTGAGGAAGATGTGTGTGGAGGAGGTCAGTGGTGCTCTGTCCTGCAGGAGGTACCAGCAGACCACCACTACTGTTAACAGGCAAGTCATTCATAGAGATGTAACAGCCGTCGTCTGAGCCAGCCCAGCAGGCCCTGTAGATGGACGATGGAGTGGACAGTGAGAGGAACTCAAAGCTCTTTCTCAGCTGACCGTCCTGTATAATGTTCCTCTGACCAGAAACGTCCAGCCACGGGTCTGCTCCAGCCCTCCATCCACGCTTGGATCCTCCTGCAGCAGATCCAGCTGCACTGTTAAAGACTTCCTGCTCACTCAGTTTAAATAAATGATCCAGGAAGAGTCACTCAGGTTAATCCTGCTTTAACTGTACATAACTGGTCCTTGCTGGTTTTGATCTGTAAATAAGTTTAACCTATCATAAATAATCTTGTCTCCTTACCATCTTTTCATTTTCTGTTCATGTAACATGTTCAAAAACATCTAATAATAAAACTGGTGATAAAATCAATGACCAGAAAGTGTTATCAGTTAGTATTTGTTTTAATAAACGTTTTAAAATATCAAACAGTTAAATAACATTAACATGATAACAGTTGAAGGCCTTTCTCCCAGGATGACCAACAGGTAAAGCCTCACCTGACCCTGGACACCTGCAGTCCTACAGAGAAAATCAGAGACCACAGGTGACAAAAAGGCAATAAACACATTTTTACATTTATCCACATGAGAAGATAAAAATTATATTCTTCACACAAACTTTTTACTTCATTATAACGTGTCAGCTGTGTAAATCCCTGAATGTAAAACTACTTTTCACAGCAGAACTGTGGTTGTGTGTGTAAACAGCTTCACTCTTCACCTCTAAGCTTAATAGAAACGCTTCTTTGCTCCGTTGTCCTTAAAACAAATGACAAGTTTAATTTGCCACACACACACACGCACACACACGGGAATAACTGGGACCCGCGATTCAATCTCGTTCTGGCTGATTTCTGCCTAAAATGTAATTTAAAAAACAAACATACAAACTAAAAATGTCTATAAACTGAACTGCTTTAAGCTTTTAAGGTTTCTATGGCTAGCTTTTAACAAACTTACGTTTAAAACTTAGCTCTTCCCATTTTCTCTGCCTGTTGAAAATCCACAGCCGGCGCGCAAAGCATGCTGGGATAGCCTTGTTCTGTGAGGATACAACAGACCCGTCCTCGAAATGTGGGCGGAGCGAGGATGTGTTTGAGGACGTGAGAATGAGTATTCTTGGAATTCGGACAGTCGTCGCTGCGCTGTGACGTCATCGCACTCTTACAAGCATCCTTCCCGTGGATTCGGACACACCCTAAGTCTCTGGGCAACACCATGTTGGATGCCATGTTTCCTTCTACGGAAGCCCTTGAGGACAAAACACGTTTACTGATTTGTAACAAAAGGTTACAAAACTTTCTCAAAAAATAAACGTTGTTGTTTTAAACATTTACCTCATCACTCGTTGCCAGTGATGAAAGAGAATCTAAAGTTCTTGTTATTTTGCTGGAGGTTTTGCTCCCAGGGATTTTTGACCCTAATGGCCATCCGTTGGTAAGGTTTTACTGAAACACAAAAGTAAAGCCTCATTTATTCTTCTCCGTGAGCTCTGCAATGAAGAGACGCACACGGAGTGTTGGAAAGGTTTTCCCATTGGAACTTTTGTTCAGGCAGTAGAGTGTTGCAAAGCAGTTTGCCACCAACAACAGGACAACAGAGGGCGTAGCGTTGTTTAGCGGTACCCTGTCACCATAACACTCTAGTATCTGGTCCCCCATGGTGTATTTACTAATGCGTTTTTATATTCAGAGATTTTATAACACAGACACATTTTTCCTTCATTTTCATCTACCTCTCCATGCGGTCGCCACCTCTAAACCCAAAATTTTCATTGTTTTGTCCAGGTTTGCTCCGTATTTTGTACTCCACTCACGGGTGAATACATGTTAATATTTTCTTACTTTTTCCGCAATGTGTTCTTCAGTCTGTTCTGGGTCTGCCGCTAAATATCTGCTTACTCTTTAATGGAGCTACAGCCATGCTGGTGACAAATATACAGGAAGCGGCGTCCCGACCAATCACAAGCTTGCATTCTCTGTCACTTTTGATGGATGTTCAAAATTTTGGGCATGTCTCCGTCACCCTCTGTGAGCCCGTCGGAGAGCACTTGCACCATAAATGCGTTGCGTGTCTCCGCACCGACGCAGACGGAGAAATCCGGCTTAAAGCTTGCTTGCAATCATTTAGGAAAGTACTTCCCCCTATCGCCTTGGGAAATACGTACTGTCACTTTAAGGAAATATAGAACATTTATTTTAGATGATCTTGTTCAGTTACAGCTGAGAAAAACAAAGACTTGATGAAACAGTTTCCCAAGTAGAAAATACCTACTTTACCATCATGTAATGTGTTTATTTTGTTTTATAAAAAACATTTTTATGGTATCTGAAAATATTTTGGGGAAAATTTACAGGTAAACAGTTATTTTTCATTCAAGCTATAACTGGTTACACAAATGAAATCTTTATTTTTGTCTTTGTCCCCCTCATCGTAACAAAAGTGAACTAAACCATGACGTTTAAACCAAAGCAGGCGTGAAACCAGGATTATAGCCGTTGCCTTCCACCTCTAGCACCTGTCTCTTTAGACTAATAAACCACACTGAGGCACATTTGAAGAAATTGTTTGGAAGAGCAATAACAAACAAATTTTATGACAAAAGTTTAAAAAAGACAGCATGATGCTACCTGACTCAGCATGACTCGTCTGTATGTGAACGGAACAGGATGATTTAAACACAGCTGAAATCCATTATTTTATTAAACAAGCTTCAAACACTGGAGAACAGCACAAAAACAGAGAAAAACACAGATAAACTAACAACAGCAATGTTAAAACATTATCAAGTAAGTAATTAGCTGAGACCTATTCTGAGCTGATCTTAGGAGGAGGGGGTTCTAATATTTTACAAGAGCCAAGGGTGGCGCAGAAGCTCTTTGTTACATTCCTTCTGTGTTTTCTATATGATTTATTTTTGTGGTTCTTCACCATGCAAGGAGCAAACAGAGCTTGTTTTTATCTTTGCTGACATGTTCCTGTGCCCACTACCACCTTCGTCAGAGCAACCGCTGATGTTGGTAGCGTTGTTTGATGGATCAAAGAAGCGATTTCGATAAGAAGACATGGACCATGAACAGGGAAGAAGGAGTATGCACCTCAGACCATTCATAGGACATCACCTACGGAGAAGGCGCAGTCAGTGGAGGATGAAGTCATCTCAAAGGGCCACGTTAAAATTTTTCTGAGTCAAAGGTCCGTTTGTTATCAGTTGTCAATCAACATGCCTTAATAAAATTACCTTGAACAAAACTTGCCTTCTTCAATCAAAACAGCAACAAGCATACAATGTTATTTCTATTTAGGAATAAAATCAAAGGAATGCATCTAAAATAAAAGCGATCTGCAGCAGCAGTAGCTCAACAGGTTGAGCAGGTTGTCCAGTAATCGGAAGGTTGCAGGTTCAATCCCGGCTCCGGACAGAGAATTCTGCTGTTGTGTCCTTGCCTGCTGGTGG